CCCACTCAGCGGGTCAATTCCAAGCGAGCTTACATGGTTTTGGCCCGATGGGCGAACTTTCGATTTTGACCCGAAAAATTTAGTCCATGGAACCCATGTCAATTTTTCTCGATTTTGGACTGAGAGAAAAATTTCGAGATTACAGTCGGATCCTACGTAGTTGGAGGCGTAGAATCGATTCCGCACAGTTCCGACTCTCGGCCAGACTTCCGAAGCCGAAAAACAGTCAAAATCTGGTCAAAAACGAGCTTTTCTGACCACTTTTTGACTCGTTCTCTAGAGCGTTTTAAGCGGATAGCTCTAAGCGAGGTACTCGTGGAGCGTTTCCGACTGGAAAAAAGCACTCAGCGGGTCAATTCCAAACGAGCTTCCTTAGTTTTGGTCCGATCCGCGAACTTTCGCCTTTGACCCGAAGAATTTAGTCGATGTAACCCATAAGTGGATTTTTCTCCTTTTTGGACTGAAGCAAAAATTTCGAGATTCCAGTCGTATCCTACAAAGTTGGAGGCGTAGAATCGATTCCGCACGGTCCCGACTCTCTGCGAGACTTCCTGAGCCGAGAAACTGTCAAAAACTGGTCAAAAACGAGCATTTCTGACCACTTATTGACTCTTTCTTCTGGGCGCTTTCAGCGGATAGCTCGAGGTGAGGGACTTGCGGAGCTTTTCCGACTGGAAAATCGCACTCAGCGGGTCATTCCCAAGCGGCTAATCTTGCTTTCGGCTTGATCGGCGAAATTTCGATTTTGACGCTAAAAATTTAGTCCATGGAACGTCTGTCGATTTTCCTTGATTTTGGAGTGAGTAAAAAAATTCGAGATTTCAGTCGCATCCTACGTATTTGGAGGAGTAGAATCGATTCCGCACGGTCCTGACTTTCGGCGAGACTTCCTGAGCCGAGAAACAGTCAAAAATTGGTCAAAAACGAGCTTCTCTGACCAACTTTTCATTCTTTCTCTGGAGCGATTTCAGCGGATAGCTCAAAGCGAGGGACTCGCGGAACTTTGCCGACTTGAAAATCGAACTCAGCTCTTCAATTCCAAGCGAGCTTTCTTGGTTTCAGCTGGATCGGTGAACTTTCGATTTTGACCCTAATAATTTACTCCATGTAACCCTTGTCGATTTTCCTAGATTTTGGACTGTGAAAAAAAAATCGAGATTTCAGTTGCATCCTAATTATTTGGAGGCGTAGAATCAATTCCGGACGGTCTCGACTCTCGACGAGACTTCCTGAGCCGAAAAACAGTCAAAAACTGGTCAAACACGAGCTTTTCAGACCAATTTTTGACTCTTTCTCTAGAGCGTTTTCAGCGGATAGCTCGAAAAGAGGGACTCCCGGAACTTTGCCGACTGGAAAATCGAACTCAGCTAGTCAATTCCAAGCGGCCGAACTTCCTTTCGGCTCGATCGGCGAACTTTCGATTTTGACGCTAAAAATTTAGTCCATGTAACGCCTGTCGATTTTCCTCGATTTTGAACTGAGAAAAAATTTCGAGATATCAGTCGCAGCCTACGTAGTTAGAGGTGTAGAATCCATTCCGCATGGTCCCGACTCTCGGCGAGGCTCCCTGAGCCGAGAACCAGTCAAAAACTGGTCGAAAACGAGCTTTTCTGACCACTTTTTGACCCTTTCTCTGGAGCTTTTTAAGCGGATAGATCGAAGCGAGGGACTCGCTGAGCTTTTCCGACTGGAAAATCGCACTTGGCGGGTCAATTCAAAGCGAGCTTACTTGGTTTCTGCCCGATCGGCGAATTTTCGATTTTCACGCAAAAAATTTAGTCCGTGTAACCCCTGTCGATTTTTTTCGATTTGGGACTGAGAAAAAAATGTCAAGATTTCAGTCGCATCCTATGTAGTCGGAGGCGCGGAATCGATTTCGCAAAGTCTCGGCTCTCTGCGAGGCTTCCTGAGCCGAAAAACAGTCAAAAACAGGTCAAAAACGAGCTTTTCTGACCACTTTTTGAATATTTCTCTAAAGCAATTTTAAGCGGATAACTCGAAGCGAGGGACTCGCGGAGCTTTTCCGACTGGAGAATCGCACTTTGGTTTCAGCCCGATCGGCGAACTTTCAATTTCGACCCGAAAAATTTAGTCCATGGTACTCCTGTCGATTTTCCTCGATTTTGGTCGTGGAAAAAAATTTCGAAATAACACTCGGATCTTATGTAGTTACGGAATCGATTGCGCAGGGTCCCGAGGCTCTGCGAGGCCGCTGAAGTGGAAAAAGCGGGTAATTTCCAAGAAAAACGAGTCTTTCTGACCAATATTTACCCCTTCGACCAGTTTGGTTGGTTAAATGTTTTTTGTCGAGTTTGGTGAGGCTTTCGAGCCGCGAAGCGATGAATAACACTGATTTCTCAAGGTATTAATGTCTTGAAAAAAGATCTCTCACTTGTGTAGTTTTTAGAACTTGTGTCTTCTCAGAAAAAATCGTGGTTTTTTAAAGTATGTATTTCATGGATTAAAAATATTTTGCGCATCCGCTTTCTAAGGCCCTTACAATTTCATAGAGATGTTGAATAGATCTTGGCCTAGTTCTGCCTATGACATAAAGGTATGTAAATATTTTACTTCAAAAGTGTGTCTTTTTTATGTACGTCATGAATTGAGAAACCAACAAGTTATGCATGGTTTAGCTGAACCATCCCAGTTCATTCAGATCGAACAATTGGGAAAATTTTGAACCTGTTTTGAAATTTTTCAAAATGTTGATCCAATTTTATTTTCTGAAAAGGAACACACCATTTTCATTTCTCAAAACATATACAGAATATTGTAGTTAGTGGAGACAAAAAATTCGCAAAGTAGCCTAAAAATTACTTTGAGTAGTTTTTATGCTTACGGACTGTTACAACTTCATATTTTGTCGGAGAAAGAAGTAGAACAAGTTTTTCAGTATGAAGTCTGTAACTTTGCAAACTGATACAGTGAAAGCTTGCTAAGTCGAATGGTGTAGGGGCTGAAAAATAATTCAACTTAAGCGGCAATTCGTCTTAACCAATTCTCATCTTAACACGTGGACTTCTCTAGAAACCGAAAAACAATTCGACTTAAGCGGCATTTCGTCTTAACTGTAGTTCGACTTAGCGAGCTTTTACTGTATACGTTTTTTTACACTTTCGTTATCGATTTGATTCCGTGCGTCTGTAAAATGAATATCCATTAAGAAATGGAAATGGATCATACTCTAAACGCTGTAAGAAGGAATAAAAAAAAATTACAAGAGGTTTTGTTCATTTATTTCTTTAATTCTTTTTGACATATCTGTACAGGTTGGTTTGCTTCCAATTTATTTTTCTTTCATCATCATATTTTTAGTAACAGAAACATAATATTTTTCATTCCTTTCCTTTCATAGATAATTCATTGACTTTTAAACCTACTGGTTAGAATGATTGGATTAGCATCTTTACTCGAGGGATCTGGAAGTCAAACTCACAATCAATTCATATAAAAATAGTTTTGATCTGGAAAAAATTTTGGTCGCTGAAAATAATTTCGAGATTACATTCGGATCCTATGAAGTTGATTGCGCTGAATCCATTGGGCATGGTCCTGACTCTCGGCGAGGCTCCCTGAGCCGAGAAACAGTCAAAAACTGGTCAAAAACGAGTGTTTCTGGCCACATTTTGAGTTTTTCTCTGGAGCGTTTTCAGCGGATAGCTCTAAGCGAGGGACTCGCGGAGCCTTCCGGACTCGAAAATTGCACTAAGCGGGTTAATTGCAAGTTATCTTACTTGGTGAATCAGGGACCATGTTTTTTTTTTTTCGGTAAAATAAAAAAAGGGAAAGAGGACTGAATTTGATATCACGACGAAATTTCCCGTGATTTCAATTAAAATCTTTCATAAAATTATTGTTAATTTTTTAGAGAATCTGTGCGCCAATTTTTAAAATATATTGATTCAAACTGAAGCATTAACTGTGGTTCGCAACGTTGCAATTGAGGGAAACAAGCTCCTTTTCGCGTGGAACCATCGATATTTGAGTTCTTTTACGGCAGGCGTGACATACAACTATTTGACCACGGCTGTAAGCATGGTGCAGCTTCGCCGGATTGAAGGCGCGTCAAACTGCGAATATGTCTTGACCGCCCTGCCGACCCTGGCGGGTGGGACAAACGCTAAAATCGCTGTAACACTTAGACGATGCGTCATTATTTATGACTCCCATCTAATTCTCACCATAGGAAACAAAAATAAGTATCCGAATAGCTACGATTTTCAATCAGGGACCATGGCTTTTTTTCGGTAAAAAGAAAAAAGGGGAAGAGGACTAAATTTGATATCACGTTGAAATTTCCCGTGATTCAATTAAAATCTTTCATAAAATTATTGTAAATTTTTCAGAAAATTGGAGCGTATCTTTTAAAATATATTGATTCAAATTAAAGCATTAACTGTGGTTCGCAACGTTGCAATCGAGGTAAATAAGCGCCTTTTCGCGTGGAGCCATCGATATTTGTGTTCGTTTACGGCTTGCGTGACACATACGTTCTTTAAATACTTTAAAATGCAAACATAAAACAGTGTCAACGAGGTTGGATCGGAAAACGAACATCTTCAAGCACAATTACCGCTGAAAATTTGAGAAATGCAAAGCTGCAACTGTTTGGGAAGGGAGGTATTCGCGGGAAAACGTGCTTTCTGCGAGAGAAAATCTTTGACATTTTGTGAATATTCGAGTAGGAAGTTGCCTGCATATTGAGAAATGGGGTCTGTGTCTGAATTTCAAAGGGGGGGGGGGGAGGATGCCAAAATCCAAGGTTATATGTATACCATAACAAGGAATTTCTTGTTGTATTTTGAAAAAAAACGTAAGCCTTTCATAAAACTAATTATACTCGTATAAGGGAGACTTGTTTGCTCGGCGTTCGAGAATTCATAAAATGGGTGTGGGTTTGAATTATGGTATACAACAAAAAAGAGGAGCCTTAAAAAACAGATCCTTCTTTCTCGCAGTGTATCTATCGGTATCCAGATGAAAAACTTAAAAATAAATTATAGACTGCGTCAAAGCTGATATATTTATTTTGTCATTTTTGTGGTGAAATACCCTTTTCAATAGAAGTATAGAGCAAAAAGTTCATATCGGGGCATTTGTGAAATCAGGTTTGCTCTATTGGAATTTCGCAGGCTTTTTCGAAGTTGTCGATAGCGACATGTTGTAGTACCGATGAGAAAATATCGAGATCGCACAAATCACCAGTTTCCTTGCCCCGACTGTCCTTGCAGCCTTCGATTTTCAGCACTATCAAATTGTCATCGAGGTGGCTCCTTTTGTAAAGTATCTGAAATGATACACAGTATAAATCACGCGAGAAAAACGAGGAGTAAAGTCAGCACAGGAAAATATCATGATCTCCTAAAATGAGAAAAAAAAGGAAGTCGTAAATGATGGAAAATCATAATAAAAATAATTCGTATTCTAGTCCTCTCGAATCATCCACCAAGCATGATTAATTAGATCAATGGAAAAGTAGGATTTTCAATTAAATCGCTTGGAATGAGCGCCAAGGTATCCGAACTCATGAGCCATGGGCATGTGACAGGAGCGTTGTGAACAGGGCTCATGAGTTAATGCCTCGGATCGTCGTTCCCGAGTTTCATGGTCGCCGCTGACGTCACTGGCGCCCAATAATTATCATGCATTCTTACGGTCCTCAACTAACAAGCACGCTCCTTCTTTTCTACCCGTCTCTGGTTCCTTTCAGAATAAATACGTCCATTTTGTAATAAGGAGCTACTTTATCGCGCTCTTCCCTAAAAAACACTTAGCTGCATATAGGAAAATCAATGGCATATATCGATGGTGAGAGTGCAGAAGTGCGTATCTCGGATAACACGATTTTCCAGGAGAGTAAAAAAACTGTCTGCATTCCTCTTTATTGTATGCAGAAGGATAATAATTCTTGAGGATAGTAAGAATATCAGACTAAATCAGCATTTTGAATAATCTCTCGAGCTGACAGAAAATACAGCATAAATACGAAGATTTGCGTTTTCGGCACTAAAAATTGACACTTTATCAAAGGGTAAAAATTTTTGGAATTAGTGTATTAAACCTGTTGTCGGAGAGTTTAGATCATTTAAAGACTGAAAAAAAAGTGTCAAGCTTACAATTCTTATCAGTCTTACAAATAAGACTGAAAGACAAAAAAATCTTAGAACACAAAATGATGTTTTTCAGGCATTGTCCAAACTTACGGCTCGATTGAAAACTCAAAAATTATGAACATTTTTGCTCAACATCATTCGACGGGGCCTCTCAGACAGGTTACAGAGGAGCGCCTTCAAAACACTGCGTAATCTTAATGCAAAATTCTGATACCACTATTCGTGCGTCACGACAGTCGTTTTGCATAGCCGGCTAATTGAAGGCGAATCATTGCCCAAGGCAACAGGGCAACAATTTTGGAATAAGATACGTGTTTTTCAGGGAGCAACACCTCCGGGCGTGCCCCACCTGACATCTAATAAGCCCAACCTCAGGGGGTGCTCAACCTGGCATCCAAGAGTCCCAACCCCCAAGGGCTGCAGCCCTGAGGTCCAAGCGGACCAACCCCTGAGGGTGGACCCACTGGGCATCCAGTAAAACCAGACTCCGGCAGTGCTCCACCTGCCATCTAAACAGTCGAACCCTCAGGGCCTGCCCCCTTGACTTACAAGGAGCCCAGCCCTGTGGAGCCACAATAGCTTACTAGCCACAATGCTCCACTTAGCAACCACGGAGCCCAACCCCCCAGCGGCTGCCCCGCCTGACATCCAAGCAGCACTAGCCTAGGGGATGT